AAAAAAAATACTCAATTATCCGAGTACCAAACCTATAATTCAGTCGATTAAGGAAAAGTAAAAGGCGTCCTAACAATGGTCAAAAGCAGCAATTACACATCCAACGACCCAGTTCATCATCAAAATATTAATAACAGATACTAACAACGAAAAGGTTTTTTGATCAAATGCCCTTATCTGAGATCCGAAAAGTTCCAGTTCAGATTAATTAATCTTGTGCCTTCAACTTCTCGATACGCTTGTTCAACTGATCGACCTTCACAACAAGGCCGGTAACGGAATAAAGCAGCCAATAGAAAACAAGAGCAGAGGCGATCAAAAGTGCGTTTCGCTGAGACTTCATAATCGATTTTTGATGTCGGAGGTGTTCGGACGGAGAACAGGATTCGGTTTCACAGCTGGGTCGGGTTTCATATTTCCAGTATATATCCATCAACAGGAAGAGGCAAAAGGGCACGATGGACAGGAAAGGCTTGAGCAGGCTACGGGTCACGCTGATTAGGCCCTTGCGGAGCGGGTCAAGGCCCGGGAGAGTAAGGAGGAGGAGCATTACGGCCTCTGCTCCAGCAGCGTAGCCTAGCACCACCCACTCCAACGCCATTGATGAACAGATCGAGATTTAGATCCGAGGAAGAAAAGGGGGGATTTGAATGAGAAAATGTAGAACAGACTGCACTAAGAAAAGTATCTTATACAGGGAAAGGTTATTGTATCTGCCTTTTTGCTTGGGCATTACTTGTATTGTGAAATTTCTTTTGTGTTTTTATTATTTATATATATATTTTTCATTGTCTTATATTTGGACTAAAGCAATTGAACCATTTTAAATTTTGGTTTTCTTTTTTCGACTCAAATTTCTATTTTGAGTGTGTTTGATTGACATTTCTTCTATAAAAATTATTTTTTAAAAGTTGGTCACGTGAACATATTTTTTTCAAAAGGGGATAAGTTTAATTTTTCAGGCAATTCACGAACTCTCTCTCACTTACCCACCCATAAAAAAATTGACAAGTATAATATTTTTTAGATTGAAAATTAAATTAATCGAATACATCTAATTAATAATTTGCATGCAAATAAGTTCAAAACAATTGAATTATTTATAACTTATTTTCTTTCCATACAATTTAAATGCTTCCAATCAAATATACCCTAGTAACAATTAAACAATTGTTCTAGAGCAATGCTATGAACAGATTGATGATGTGAATAAGATTAACCCTTTATTTTATTTTCTTATCTCTTTTTTCCTCTTTGTCTCTCTTCCACGTCATTAATATGTAATTTGTATACAATTTTGTACAAATAACATTA